TCGCCTGTGTTACGGGCACTATGGTTTGATGCAGGTTCCTGGCATCAGCAGGTCCTCCAAGCCCTCCAAGATTGTGCAAGTGTTGTCGCGACTTGCAGCTGGGAGTGCCTCTCGGCCGATCCCTCGCTCGCCGGACAGTGGGCCAGTAGTTTTGCCAGAAAGTGCCGTGGCAGGGCACGGCGAAGGCAAGAGGAACACTTACTTAGGTGGACCAATCTCGCCGCGGCCCGTACCGCGGGGGCGTACTTCTTTCACTTCAAGGGGAGCTGCCATACCGGGCCAGAGCACAAGTGTCCCGACTGTGCTCTGCAATGCAAGACCGCGGCCGCACTTGCAGCTCACATGAGCAAGGCTCACGGCCGTGTTGCCACATCAACTGCTGTGGCAAACGGTACTCGATGTGAAGTATGTAGTACCGAATTTTGGAGCACCAAGCGGCTACGAGATCATTTGCGCAGACAGCCCAAATGTTTGAAGGTCTGGGCGGAGTCCGATCTGGATAGCCGCGAAGTCGCGGAGACTTCGCGCAGGCATGCTTGGCGGCCTGCCTGCAAAACCAGCGGACCGGCACCTTGGTGGGCGACCCTGCGGCCTGAGTCAGCCCCTTCGACTGCCACTGATGCCTCTTTCGATGGACTTCGCTTCATCACTGCCTGGCTCCAGTCCGCTACCAATGGGCTGACAGAGACTCAGGTCCACCAGCTCATCGCTCATGGCATTGCATACCACCTTACTCCGGATGACATGCCTGTAGCGGTCATTCCTACGAGCGCTTCCGCTCACGGAATAGCGCGTTGCGCCCTTTTTGCTGCACAAGCTATCCTAGCGCGGAGCGCGGGAAGTGAAGCTGTGCTTGGATACAAGGTCCATGTACAGGGGGACCGTGCATCCATCTGGCCTAACGAGGTCGAACCCCTCAAGCCACTGCCCACGGAGTGGGACTTTGGCAGCTGACGCTTTTGCGCAGACATGCATGCGTGTGCACTCGGAAGAGTTCAACCATCACATGCAAAAAAACCCTAAACCCTAAACCCTAAATCCTAAACCCTAAACCCTAAACCCTAGTTTAGGGTTTATAGTTCAGAAGTTTGGGGTTTAGGGTAGGGCCTTTAGGGTTCGCCTCACCATCCTTCAGCGTCCCTGAAGCGCACCGGAAGACGGCGACCGAGACAGGTGAACTGGCGCAATCTGTCCCATTGCCTTCGCATCTCTTGCATGGGCAGGCGACCTCTATCTGGCTTGCCGGGCTTGGGGGTTAGGGTTTATAGGAGTTTGGCTGACGTCCGATAACGGCCATAGTTACTAGAATAGGGTTGGGGGGGGGGGTACGCCATGCTGTAGTCAAGTTTTGGGACTATGGCTGAACGCTTTCACTAATTCTCCAGGCCCCCGTACTCGGCCTCTTTCAGGTTTTAGGTTTAATTGAATTTAGGATTCAGGGTTTAGGGTTTAGGGTTTTAAAGTTAAAGTTCAGGACCGAAGCAGTTGACCCTTGACTTACCTCGATGTTGAAGGCAGACAGTGTAGGAAGTATTGCCGCGCATCCGAAGGCCGAAACCCTAGGACCCTAAGCACAAAGCCCTAGACCCTAAACCCTACAAGTGTGTGCCTTGGATTTGCTTGGGACGATCGGGCAGGCCCAAAAAGGAGTTCAAAAAAAAACCCTACAAGTGTAGAACCGAAGCCCGAAACTCGGAAGCCAGAGAAAGACTAAGACTTGAGTTCGTTGGCTTCTGTGCCGATGTTGTGTTCCCTATACCCCCAAGCCCCCAAACCCTAAACCCTAAACCTCCAAGCCCCCAAGCCCCCAAACCCCAAACCCCCAAACCCCAAACACCAAACCCTTAACCCTAACCCCAAACCCCCAAACCCCCAAGCACCAAACCCTAAACCCTATAACCCCAAAGCCTAACCCCAAAGCCCAAACCCTGCCCGTCAGGTTCTCCAAGCAAGCCCCGAGGCAGAGATGTGCTATAGGGGCCTTAATTTTAGCGGCTTCGGGTTTGGGGTTGACCCTAAGCCGCATAACCGTTTAGGGTTTAGTAGGGTATAGGGGTTGGGGTTTGGGGTTCAGGGTTCAGGTGTCAGGGTTTAGGGTCTAGGCTTAGGGCTTTTGGGGCTTGGGGTGTTTATGGTTCAGGCCCTAAACCCTAAACCCTAAACCCTAAACCCTAAACCCTAAGGGGTGAAAGATGGAAGATCTTGTGCCCAGAGACCCCGAAGCCAAAGTCCGGGATGCAGGAACTCTTGGGTTTAGGGTTTCAGGGTTTA